GATATGGTGAGAGTGGGCAACATTGTCTTGTTCCTGATTTCAGTAGGATCACTTTGAGTTTCACTCCATTTAGTTTGATGTTGACTGTTGGCTAGCTGTATATTGCCTTTATTATGTTCAGGTATGTTACTTTTATCCCTGTTCTCTTCAAGACCTTTATTATGAAGGGATATTGTATTATGTCAAAAGCTTTTTCAGCATCTAATGATAGAGATGATCATGTGGTTTTTATTTTTCAGTTTGTTTATATAGTATACCACATTTTCTTATTCATTCTTCAGTTGAGGGGCTCTATGCTGAAGAGATACCTCAGCTGTTAAAGGCTAGGCTCACTATAACATATATTTCTGTTATTCTTAGGTTTGTTTTTTCATATTATCCCAGATTTCCTTGGTGTTTTGTGTTAGGATTTTTTTTATTCTTAGTATATACTTTGACTGATGAATTTATTTCTTCTATCATTTCTTCAATGCCTGAGATTTTCGCTTCCATCTCTGTATTCTGTTGGTGATGCTCCCATCTGTAGTTCTTGTTTCAATACCCAGACATTCCATTTCCTGAAGTCCCTTTGTTTGAGTTTTATTTATTTTTTCCATTTCCATTTTTAGCTCTTAAACAGTTTCCTTCATTTGTTTGTTTTTGCTTGGACTTTTTGTTATTATTTAATTTAAATTTTTCCTCAATTTCTTTAAGGGATTTCCTTTATTTCCTCCTAAGGCACTGATGGAGGAAGGTCATTGGTTAATTAATAAAGCTGCTTGGCCTGATAGGTTAGAACATAGTTGAGTGGAGTAAACAGAACAGAATGCTGGGAGGAAGAGGAAGTGAACTCAGACACCATGCCTCTTCTCTCCAGGGCAAATGCAATGAAGCTCCCACTCAAGATGGACGTAGGCTACAATCTCCCTGGTAAATCACTACCGTGTAGTGCTACACACATTAATAGAAATGGGCCAAGCAGTGTTTATATGAATACAGTTTGTGTGTTGTTATTTTGGGGCATAAGCTAGCCAGGCGGCCAGGAGCTGGGTTGCAGAAACGCAGCCCATAGCTCCCACAAGAAAGCACCTCTGTCATCTTCAAAAAATCATTTTGAAGATCGATTTCTTATGCTTCAGCTGTGTTGGATTATTCAGGCCTTCCTTTCGTAAGACAGCTGGGCTCAAGTGTTGCAATATTTTCCTTTCTGTTATTGTGTTCTTACACTGGCATTTTGGCCTCTAGATTTTTGATGATTATAGTTCTAGGTGTTTATTCCTGCATTTGTGGTTTTATGGATGAGTGTTTTGTTCCTTGGTTTCTTTTTCCTCTTTGATCTTCTGACCTGGGGTTCTTAGATGCAGTCTTTTCTCTGATAAAGATGAAATCTTCTTCAGATGTCGTAGGCCCAGATAAGGAGCCCAGGGGAGGGAAATCAGTCTGGAGTTGCTTGGAAGGCTTAAAGGAATTAAGTGGGTGGTTAGTGGTATCTTACCTGTGGTGCCTAGGTTGAGCCTGTCCTCCAATAAAGCTCCCAAGACTTTGGGCATCAATGTGGAGACCAGGAGAGAGGGTGAAGTCTGAGGTTATTGGGTCATCTTTAAGGACTGTTAAGAGACAGTGGGAAATATCTTGCCTGCAGTCCCTAGGATCATTCTAAACTTTGCTATGGGTCTTGTTTAGAGCCCAGGTGAAGGAATGCAGTCTGAGTTGATGGGAGGGGCTTAAGGTGATATAATGGACAGTGGGTGGTGTCTTATTTGGGAACCAGGACCAGTTTGGCCTCCGATAAGGCTGCAAGGTTTTGGTGCTTGTGTGAAATCTGATAGGATGTTAGATGGACCTATTTTAACCAGGGAAAGGAAATCAGAGCAGCAGAACAATAGCATCAACTGCAAGTATTTGTGACTCACACTTAAGTCAGTCCAGGAGAAATGAGGATAAAACGAACCTGTGAGCTACATCAAAGGACATTTTTGACTTTTGTGAACCAATTTCATTCTGGGCCTCTATGTTGTCCTCTGAAATTTATTTCCTGGCATCAGTCTGATCTCCTGAATAAAGTTGCCTTATGATCTCCCTTTTCTGTTATTAGGTTCTGATTTGGAAGAGTCTTCTGTTTTGTGTTAATTTTATTGGTTAACTAATAAAGAAAACTGCTTGGCCTAAGGACAGAAAATTAAGTAGGTGGATTAGAGAGAACAGAATGCTGGGAGAAAGAAGCCAAATCAGGGAGTTGCCATGATTCCCCCACTCCAGACAGACTCAGGTTAAGATCTTTCCTGGTAAACCAGCTCGTGGTGCTACACAGAATATTAGAAATTGGTTAGATCAATATGTAAGAGCTAGCCAATAAGAGGCTGGAACTAATGGGCCAGGCAGTGTTTAAAAGAATACAGTTTCCGTGTAATTATTTTGGGTAAAGCTAGCTGGGTGGCAGGACATAGCCCCACTGCTCCTATTACTACAAGGTTTACTTCTCTGTGTGTATGAAAGTGCATGTGTATATATATTTGAGGCATCTAATACATTGCTGTGAAATTCACACTGGCTCTTTTCAGCAGCTCTAGAGAATATTTGACATTAACATAGACTTCTCTGTGTCTGCTGTTTTTAATATTTATTTCATGTTTTATTTCATGGAAACCAGAAATAAATTTGTAGACTGCCTGATGGTCATGTGCATGAATGTTATATGATGTAACTGGGATTAGGACTAATGTCAATATGCTAGAATTAAAATATGAGGCATTTTGGAACTAGTAGTTTAATGGTGATCGCGCTACTTATTCTCTGTATGAAGCAGACTCATCAGTATCAGAGGTCCACTAAATACAATTAAAATAAAATTAATGAGATGCTTCACTGAGCTGGAAGAATAATTATTATGGTCACAACTTAATCACACTAAAATAAAACAAAACATTATGGAAAAACATAAAATGATGCTGCTAATATCTTGTGTAAAATAGAAATGAATCACAATAGAGGGATGTCATCAGATATCACTTCAAATACACTAAGGAAAGGTAATTTCATGAACAAAAGAGAAAAAATATTTTTAATTATTTATGTAAAACAATATTCAATAAATATTCAAAAAGAAATAAAATGTACAAATTTAATAAATATTTGGACTAACATAGGACCTCATGTAATCAGAGCCACATAGCATGACTCTTTTATTGAATGAGCTTAGGGGCAAGGAGATCATATTTTACTGAATGTCAATTGTAAGATTGGGGAGTTACTCTATATGTGATTAAAAGATTTATATCTTTTGTTAAGAAATTATAAAACAGAGTCCAAATTTGTTCTAAAGGACAAATCAACATAATCTCAAAAATGGATAAAATTCGGTAAATATGATGATATTGTAATCAATAAGATTATCAAGACTTAGTTTGGCCAACTGTATATGATTACAGAAGCCTGCAAACCCAGCATTTGGAAGATTAAGGACTGAATATCAGGATTCCAAGGTCATGTTGGCAAAGCAGGTGAGGCCACCCTCACCTAAAGGGACATTGTATCAAAACACAAATTACATCTGCTCTTTTACATGGGGCCTACCTGCATGTAGTGTGTTGGATTCACTTAGTCTCATTCCACTTAAGAAAACTCGTTTTCCCTCTGTCAGTAAATGTAATTTGTGAACAGCTTCTTAGATTTTTTTATTTTCATTTGCTTTATTTTAAGAAACAACAGGAACACCAACCTTGGTGAATAGGAAAAGGTAGGCTCTAGGAGGAGTTTTGGAAAAATACAGATGATAAAATGTATTGTATAAAATTCTCAGAGTATAAATAATAACAAAGAAATAAAAAGGCAAAACCAAACAAATCAAAAAAGAGGAAGTTTGTTAATGAAATTGTAATTTAATTAGTTAGGGCTTTTTTGCTATTTCTTAGTCTCCAATTTGAATGTAAATAATACACACACACACACACACACACACACACACACCCAGAGACACACACATATAAGTGACTATTGAATGCTGCCTAGGCAACATTAATTACAAAACAAAACATACTACAGTTTTTTGTGCTGCAATATTTTTTTGTTTGTTATATGGAGTTTTCAATTGAATTTTCTTTCCATGGATCAGCTTTTAGCTTCCTTTTACAACTACAGGCACATTTCTTTCATGGTAAGAGCAGGGGTAAAGTCTGTTGGAAATGGAAAAGGACACAATGTGACTATTTACTATTCTCTTCCATCCATGTTGCAGTGTTAGGAGAGCAAGACTATCTTAGGGATCTTGGCAAATACAATGAGACAAACATGTTTGTCTCTGAAATGAGACAGTCTTAAAACACTTTCAAAGGCAACTTCAGTGAGCATAAACAACACCTAACAATTTACAATGGAATGTATGTTACAAAATCAGTGTTCCAAAATTACTGATTGTATTCCTTCTCATTTAATTGTGTTTTCCTGAGCTAATTGAATATTATTTGCAAATAGTGGATATTCTTCAGGAAAGGACATTATGATGATAAAATATTAGAAAGTAAGTATTAATAATAATTAATAATATTGTATTTACTATACTTATATTTGAACATATTTCATCTATTGTTCCATCACATGCATGTAAGGTTACTATGTATATTCAGAAGCTGATGAAAATGAGGATTAAACATTCAGAGAATCATTATTTATTTCCTAGACAGCTAGTTAATATAATATACAAGAATGATTCAAATTCTACTGATATTTTCTCAAAGTTATCTTTTCCATGGTATAAATAAAATTTAGTACATTAAGTTTATTTTTAAGGATTACATATTTATTCTATTAATTTCTACCCTACATGCCTTCAAAAACACATACTAATTTTAACCATGACTGCTATGTTTCCTGAAGATAGAGTTTGGAAACCACAATCCTGAAAATGGCCAAAATAGTGTTTGTGTAAAGGAAACTAAATATACATGACAATTTGGCTGTCAGTGTCATTTTTCTTACAGTGACAAAGGAGATATAATATAAAATAGAAACAATAGATTAGTTACTTAGCGCCAGTGTGAAATTATCTGCCTTGAGTTTTCCCTCTTCTTGATAACTCTAATGACAGCATTTTTCACTTCTTTGTTTCTGAGACTATAAATGAGTGGGTTCAGCATAGGGATCACAATGGTGTAAAACACAGAAGCTACTTGATCCTTTCCCAGGGAGTAGGACTTACTTGGTTTCATATAAGTAAAGATTAAAGTCCCATAAAAGATAGTGACTCCCAGGAGATGAGAGGCACAGGTGGAGAAGGCTTTATGCTTTCCTGAAGTGGAATTGATCTTCAAAATAGTACAGAGAATGGACACATAAGATGCAGATATTGTAATAAGAGACACCATTAAGGTGAAGCTAGAAAAGATGACTATCATAAGTTCAATGTTATGTGTGTCATTGCAAGACATTGCTAAAATTGGGGATGTGTCACAAAAAAAGTGACGGATTACTTTGGATCTGCAGAAGTGGATGGTGCTCATAAAAAGCATATTAACAGTGGAGTCTATAGTTCCAATCATATACGAGGCAGTAACAAGGGCACTGCAGACTCTTGTGGACATGACAACTGGGTATTGTAGAGGGTTGCAGATAGCTACATACCTATCATAGGCCATTGACGCAAGAAGGAAACACTCAGCAGCAGCTAAGAGGACAAAAACATACATCTGAGTAAGGCAGCTAGCCAAGGAAATAATCTTGGTGGAAGTCAGCAGGTTCTCTAAAGTTTTAGGTGTGATGGCAGTTGAATAACTGAGGTCAAGGAATGACAGGTGGCTCAGGAAGAAATACATTGGTGTGTGAAGCTGGGCATCGAGGCGAATGATCAGCATCATGCCTATGTTCCCCAGCACAGTGACCAGGTATATCAGGAGAAACAGCACAGCAAGGGGTAGCTCCATCTCCTTGGAATCTGTCAGTCCCATGAGGATGAAGTCAGTCTCATTTGGGTAATTCCAAGCATACATAGTGAACGACCCTAAAACAGATAATAAATAAAATGTGGTCTCAGCTTGTACAACTTTAAAAAGAGTTTTGTTTAAATGTACATGATAGTATTGTTATAACTTCAGTTGGCTTAATGTTGATGTTTCTTTTACAGCGTAAGGATAAAGTAAAATGGACAGGTAGATATAGGTAACAATTCATATTTGGCTAGAATATGATAAAAGACATACTGTTTTTTTTTCAATTATCATGGTAGTATTTCCTTTAATAGTACCTTGATTATTTTAGAATACTTTTAAGGTTGTATTGGTATGCATTCATTTTTAATGAAGAATCTAGCAAAAATCAAGTTACTTGTCAGAACTCAATTTATTGATGTTGCCTGTTTTGTTTTCTGTAAATTTTGCTCAGAGGAGCATGAATATTGATAGTGTGTCTGGTACAAGGCTAGTCATTAAACTCTGATTACTTACTAGATATAATGAAAGGAGAAAATAACATATATTATCTTTTGTTTATTTTTTAGATTTTACTCTTTATAGATGTATATAGGACACTTGAAAATGTTTAAACACGAATGGAGATGTCATGCTTTCTCTTCCTGTCAATGCATCAGCAAGTATCTTCTAAAATTACATTCATCATTCAGAGACTTCTACTCTATCAACTCTGTTGTTCTGCACATAACTTGATATTTACTTGGATAAGGCATAAATGCTAGGAGCCTTCTTGGTTCTTCCATAGATCCCTTATTTCATCCTAACAGATCTAAACTTTGCCAATTTTAAGAATACTTACTGTGAGCCAAAGTTTGTGAATGGAAAACAACACCAACCAAAGTAAATGAATAAACCTATTAATATCATGCATGTAAAATGATGCTAGTTGTCAATATTTCTCACAAAGGATATATGAAATCCATTTTATGACATGAACATTTCTGCGCTGCAGAATTTATTTAGCAAGCGATCAATGCTTCCATTTATTTCCCCAAACATTCTTATAATATAGAGTTAAGTCACCCTGGAAATTATTCTTGGGTCTCTACAAAAGGGAAATTTTCTCAGGCAGATTTGATTTAAGAACATTGCAGGGAACTACTGTGAATGTAAGCAGAGTAGTACAGGACTTTTCTCTGTTCCAGCATCGGGGCCCTGAGCATCATCTACCACGTGATCTTCCTCAGGGATCAATTTTCTAGCAAGATTACTTGGCCTGCTTTCAAAGACCAAAGTTCAATGTTTTGTTTCCTCCCAAGGAGATTGAAGAAAAAATAAATCTTAAATAAAATATGTAGCTATTTTAAAATCATGCATACATTATTTCATTTTTATTAAAGAGCCCATTTGACTTGATTATGAATACATGAAATAAGTTTCATTTCTCTCAATTCATTGTAGAATTTTATTAGCTTTAGAACAGAAGTATGTCTAGTTTTATTTTTATGAACTAAATTTAGGATACACATTTGAAATTAAAAGTTAATAATTACAAGAATGCATAGATTTTTTTGGAATATATTAAGTATCAGATAATTTCTCACTACTATGGAACATAACAACATATTGTTCATATGCACATTCTAAATGACTTTATTGGTGACAATCTCAAGGATGAAGTGGTGAATTTTTACATGAGGGAAAATTTACATTTAAAAGCGTGATCCTTTCCTGAATAAACTGTTTTCAATAAAAGCAATAGATTATGACAACTTTGATATAAGTCAATTCAGACAATCCATGTCTTGTTAAGATAAAACATTGATATATATATTCATAGTATAGTTTTATAAATATTTTTGTGTTTATGAAAATTCACTGAGATATAATGACCAGTTTTATTGTTTTACAATCATTTTCTCTTCTGTACAGTTTTTGTCTCAATTGCATATTTTCATAATTATTATATATTCATTTTTTGCTATTTTACCATTAGAGATTCATGCACCATGGCCTGTCTTGTGCTTATATTTTACAAAACCCTTTATTTCATTAGTTTTACATTGGATGGGCATCAGTCGTCGCCTGATGTGACCTGAACATCCTCAAGCTGATAAACACATTTTAGCATCACAAGGATGACTGGTCCTCCACTTTGATTTGGGGATTTGACCTGCTTTAGCAGCATAGTATACTTGAACAATTTTCTCAGTGAATTTTGATGTTAGATTTATTTTATAACACCATACTATGGAAATATATAGACACAGTCTATTCTGAAGCTAATAAAATTCAACAAAAAATTGAGAGAAAAGAAACTCATTTCATATATTCATAATCAAGTCAAACTGGCTCTTTAATAAAAGTGAAATGATGTATGCATGATTTTAAAATAGCTAAATATTTTGTTTAAGATTTTTTTTGCTGGTAAATGAAATATTAAAGTGAGAATCAAAATGAAAGATTCTTATGAGTTTTGTATTAATTCATAACGAAATCATTATTCCCAAGTTATTAAAAATGACTCGTTTGGTTGGATCAGAAGAGTGCTGTCATGTATAGTAACACTTCAGAGTGTGAGATGTCGAAATGAAATAGAACCTAAGCCTGGGTGGTAACTGAGAATCATACTTTGGAGACTCTCATAAAAATGGAAGAGGCCTTAGCCTAAGAAGGACTGTATCTTAAAGCCAGCTGAATCTTACTTTTAGAATGGCACTCAATGGATTTGTGTGTGTGTGTGTGTGTGTGTGTGTGTGTGTGTGTGCGTGTGTGTGATATAAATAAAACATTTGTAATTACCACTACTTTTGTGCAGAATTCAAGCATTTTGTATTACTTACTGTCATTACAAGATCTTACCATGGAGAACACACTGTTCTCAGACTAAACATTTTCTTGCATCAGCCTCATAAGTGATGAGAACACAGGCATAAACCTCTGCCTGGCTCATCAATGTATGCATTGTCAGTGTAATGGACGATTAAACAAATCATGAAGAAATACATCTTCCCAAATTAGCACAATGATAATAAAATTCAGGGAAGTGAGCATTTAATATGAGGTGTCAAAATCTCTATTTATGCTTAGACTGCTGCAAATTCGTAGATAAAATGAAGCAGGAGATAGTTTTCAGCTGAATGTTGTAATAGGAGCGGCGGGGCTGCATCCCCAGCACCCCAGCCGCCTGCTAGCTTATGCCCCGAAATAGTTACACAGACACTGTATTCTTTTAAACACTGCTTGGCCCATTAACTCTAGCCCTTACTGGTTAATTCTGATATCCCGATCAACCCATCTCTAATAAACTGTGTAGCACCGGTCTTACCGGGAAAGATTCAGCATGTCTGACCTGGCGGCTTGCTTCATCGCGTGTGTCTGCCCGGGAGAGGGGAGCATGGCGTCTCTCTGAGCTCACTTCCTCTTCCTCCCAGTATTCTGTTCTGTTTACTCCACCCACCTATGTTCTAACCAATAAAATGGGCCAAGACAGTTTCTTTATTTTTTAACCATTGACCTTCCTCCATTAGCTGAACACCACTGAGTAAATAAAAATATAAACTACTCTGGTAGCTTATATATTTTACCATTAGTTTGATAAGATGTTCTAAGTCTGGTAAGATATAAATATGGTACTATAAACATATATTACAACTATGTGCTTTATAAAATTTTGCTTTTATGGTTATATAGGGTTATTACTTAAAGTATCAATGGGAAAAATGAATATATCTATAGAAGCCTTTATTTAATTGTTTAGTATCTGCACAAGGTAGATTAATGTGTAGGCATTCATAGAGAGAAGACTATATGGAGACAGTTGAAACTGTTTGGTATTGTAAATGACAGAGAATATCCTCAGAAGAAATCAGCTTACAAACCAGTTTGCCATGTCTATCATCTGGAAGTGTGTTAAGATTATTTCTATTGTTTAAGTAGTTTGTTAGATGTCATTCACTTACTTCAAACACAGCAAATGAATACCATTAATATCAATATGTGCATATATATGTGTATGGATGTAGGTGTGCGCATGAACTAAATAAGATAAAAATAGGGAATGTTTTTTGCCACTTGTAAAAATGAAACAACTTCAGTGATATCTGTGATCTTCATCTTTGTACTTTAAATAAATTATTCCCTTGTGGAACACATATCAAACACAGCTTTCCCTCCCTCGACTCCTCCCAGTTCTCCACACCACCCCATGCCCACAGATCCACTTTCCCTCCATTTTCTATTAGAAAAGAGAACAGGCTTCCAAGATACAACAAACTATAAAACAAGATACAACAAGGCAAGGCAAAGATCCTTCTCTAGAGAATAGAACCTGATAAGAAGAACAGTGGCAAAAAGAGATGGATGAGTTCCCACTGTTAATTGTCCCTCAAAACCACCAAACTAACAGCCATAACATACATAGAGGACCTGGTACAGATCCTTACAGGCCCTGTGCTGCTTTGCAAGTGTCTACGAGCCCATGTGAACCCTGCTTAGTTGATTCAATGAGCCATGTTCCCATAATTGATTCCATTGCCTCTGACTCCTACAGTCTTTCATTTACTTCTTCTGCCGGATTCTACAATCTCTAATGGGGTAGGAATGCTGAAGACTTTCAATTCAGATTCTTTTCACATGTCTGTCTGTGAATCTCTGTACACACACCATCTGATGCCTAGGGAAGTCTTTCTGATGATTAACAACAAGACAACAATCTATGAGTAAAGTAAAATATCACTATTCTCCTTTTTTGTTTGTTTCTTTTGCTTTGTTGTTTGGAAAGTCATATTTAGCTCCACCCTAAGACCCTAGGTCTCTGGGCTATCCAGTCTCCATTTTATGGCTATCCAGGCAAGTTAGGTCATGATCACCCACCTGTGCGGTGGGCCTCAAGTTAAATCAGACATTGGTTGACCACTCCCACAAAGTTCTGTGCCAATATTGTCCCAGAACATCTTTCAGGAAGAAGTATTTGTTGCTTGAGGATTTTGTAGCTTGGCTTATGTCCATTTTCTTTTTAATGTAAAAATCTGCAAACTATGTTCCCCATGAAAGAGACAAAGAGCTAGGAGTAAAAGCTC